AACGAATCGATAGAAAATTAGGGCTATTGGAAATTAAAGTGCATAGTGGTGTCCTTGGAACAGTTTAAACAATGAGGCATTTCTTTCTTTATTCCCATTYAAAACTATTGAATCTATTAATAATGCAGAAGAAAAACTTGTACATCAATTGGTAACACTTTTATTAATTTAATACATTTTTTGTTATCTTATAGGTATAGGTATACATTATCAATATTAACGGTTATTTCAGAGTTATTATAYAGAACATAAACCAAGTARAGGAAACAAATGTTAAAAACTTTGTTAAAAGRGTATTTATCAAGATATTTTCAAATGACTTCAACATTTTCTTGGACAGGTTGTTGTCAAAATCAAGCACTGCAAAATCTAATTATTGTAACTAATATAAAAAGCAATTTAGTAAAATTTATATCTGTTTCAGAAATTAATAATTTTAATAGTACTAGACTTAGATACAATAAGTACTAGACTTATATAGAATAAAAATACTAAAACTTATAAATAGATCAAATTTTGATGTATGATTGTATGAGGAGGGAGTATAACCATTCTGAACTTAATTTTTGTGGCCCATCCACAAAAAAAGTTCTGGACACKCCACTGTGGTATTGTTGTTTGTAATTCCTTCATATCTTGATCTTGTTAGTGTGTCCCAGATGTCTAGGCATAGGTCAATTAGGTTTGTGGTGGCACTTTAAATCCCTCCTTGGTTGCGGATTCAAAATGATGATGATAGTCTAAACAAAATTTTTCATTTTTTACCGGGCTTTCTAAGTGCACTCTCAGCAAAGTCCATGAGCTGAAATTGGGAAGTATGTATCTTTCTATATGATTGCATATGAAAATTACAACGCGACAAAATATGGAACATTGTTTTGTGACATAACATTCAACGACTTGACAGATATGGATATTATTGGTGCTATAACATCTCCACAATAAACATAAGTATTAATATTTAATTTCACACAAAATAAATGYTATATAACATCTCTGAGAATGTTTTTAGCACACAGGAATTATACTAGGTCTAAGTGAAGTAAGTCAATAGAATTTGTTATAAATAACCAAGTTTATTGTAAAACTATATGAACATATAAGTTGAAATAGATTGATAGAAGTTAAAAATCTTAATAACAAAGTAATAGGTACAGCACTTAATATAGAAAGACACCTATTACAAACATTAAATTAATACTATAATTAAATAAAATTACTTAACAGCTAAAAGTTAACATAACTTATAAATTAAGGAACAGTTATATATATACCCAACTATGAACAAATACCTAGGTACCTGGTACCTACTTAATAAATTAATTTAATTTTAATTTTTTATACTTGTTATTTCATAACATAAAAAATGTATAGTGATTTCATTTCTTCATGCGATCTGTTCCCAAGTAAGGTTTTAATACATCTTCAATATCCAAAGCGTGTACTTGCATACCTTCTCGAAGGCATTTTTGATATTGATCAAATTTTTTGGCACATCTTTTGTCATCATAATCGCCCTTCATATAACATTCAGTAAACCAAGAATTGAAGCATTTTTGATATTCATCTTTTATTTTATTGCAGGGTACATGTAAGCTATCCATATTTCAGTTTCAATTTTAATATCATTTGATTTCCAATTTAAATTAATAAAATCAACTCAAGCAGATTGGTGAGAAGTAATTAATAAACAATAGCTAAAAATTAAAATTTCTCGAGTAGTGAATGGTGAGTACTGTCAATATTGAATACTGAATAGTGAATACTGAATAGTGAATACTGAATAGTGAATACCAACACCAACACTACTGCTATATAGTAAACTATCGGCTGATTCGACTGCTATGGATAAATCGAATTCTGATAATATTACCTCTATTGACCGCTCTATCTGAGTTTATCATAGGACACAGATTCACAGAAAAAGTAAATAGCATTAGCATACAGCCATAGAGTAATTAATACTCTATGATAAAATAAATAGTTTTTTTYATTATCATTATTATGAGACGGTTTCTGATAAGGAAAAATTACCATAATTTGTTTTTTGTTCCATCGTAAAATACATTGTTCCATGGTTTCATCCACCATGGTTGTCCCGACGAATAAGAAACAACAAATAATCACATAACCTGAAAGAAATCTACCACTGTTTCGGACGTTTCGGTTCTTTTACTTTCACGTACACGTTTTCGTGGAGTGTCTTCTCGTAGGACGTTTTTTTTTTTTTGAATCGTAACCTAAAGTAAGTACAACTATTTCATATTGTTCACAAACACTGTTATTCAAAATTAGGGTTGCATCGTTTTGATGTTTTATCGCGTCTCGGGTTGTTAATGATCTCTCGTAATTCGTACCCAAAATCCAACCATACATTGGATCTGCATCTCGTTTTAGAACTATTTATCTTTCTCAATTGAACAATCCCCATTATCCAGACAATATTGAGCAGGAAAGTCATCGTTCCACRGCGCATTTTTGGTTTGTAAATCGAATGTCTGTGTATTTGAATTTGCATGACCAGGTTGACCAAATCAAACGTTGTCGACAATGCAGCGACTGTGATGGCCTTAAAAGCCATTTGTAGGGATCACATCATCGTTTCAATACGATTGATGATTGACTATTTCAAGTGCCCTATCCATGTGAACGGCGATGCTCAAGTTGACTAATTCTCAGTGATCAATCATGAAAAATGGAACATCTTTCACTATGTACCTGATGAATTATATTTAATTTACACCTT